GGAGTAACGAGAGGTATCGGTACCTTTTCCTCCTTCGAACTAGAGACTGTACTATGCCACTCGCTGCACAAGTGGGCGGCGTCTCTGGGTTTTCCCACGACCGCCCGTCGCCCACTGGCTCGTCGTCGTCGTCGTCGTCGTCCGCCGCCGCCGTCGTCGTCGTCATCATCGTCGTCGTCTTTGTCGTCGTCGTCGTTCGTCGTCGTCGTCGTCGTCGTCGTCGTCGTCGTCGTTCGTCGTCGTCGTCGTCGTCGTCGCCGGCTGGTCGCCGGCTTGCTTGCTGCCTGCTTTCTGCGAGATGCCCGCAGGAGGGCCGCCCGCGGCCGCCCGGCGGCAGCCTCCTCGCGCGCCGGCCGGCGTGGCTCGCGAGGCGTGGGCACGCTGGCCGCCCGGCGCAGTCCCTCGTCGCGGCCTCGCGCGACGGCTGCCTTTCTTCTTGGGGGGGGGGCTTTCGCGTCGGTGGCCGCACGTGGCCGCCTCGTCGCCGCCCTCTGCGCGCGGGGTATACTCGACGCGGGGGCGCCCGGGGGCCCTCCTCGTCGCCGCCTCGAGCGCCGGCGGGCACTACTGCCTATGCGACTACCACAGGACTACGAGAAACAACTTGATACACATATATATATATATATATATATATATTGCAAGCAATACCTTGCACCACTTAGGAATATACAGATATGGAGCGTATGTGTATATACACAAATATATAGATGCTTGTTTATTGATTGCATCATCTCATCATAAATGCACATGCGTATGTTTATGTGTACACGTGCACAGATACATGCACATAAATATGTGTATGTTCTGCTTCCTAGGGGTGAGCCCAGGGCGATACCAACTAGAGGAACGCTGCCTATTGCATCGGTGCGTTGCGTGGCATTGTTTGGCAACTTGCTGGGAATTGCTTGGCATCGCTTGACACTACGAGGCATCGAATGGCACAGCTTGGCACTGCGTGGCATTACTTTGCGTTGCTTGGCACTTCTTGGCATGGCAACAAGGAACCACGGAAACAAGCAAGCGAGACCAAGTATTAGGGCCAAGGGACCAGGGAAGCAAATCCAAGGAGCCAGGGCAAAAACCAAGGAGCCAAGACCACGGAACCAAGACCAAGGAACCAAGACCACGGAAGCAAGGAACCACGAGGAAAGGACCAGGACCAAGGATCTGAGACATGCGAACCAGTGAACCAATACCACCAAGGACCCCGAGGAAGGCACCCCGAGACCAAAGAAACCAGAAGCCCAAGACCGAGGAACCCGGGGAAGGACGGCCAGGGTTGGCCCCACACCCACTGGCTCTCGTCGTCGTCGTCGTCGTCGTCGTCCTCGTCGTCGTCCTCGTCCTCGTCCTCGTCGTTGTCGTCGTCCTCCCTCCCTGCTTTCTGTCATGCTCTCTCCCTCCTCCCTCCCTCCCTCACTCCCGCTCGCCGCCACCACTCACGGGGAACGAGTTAGGATGTCATCAGGCAGCGGCTGAAGCAAAGGCGGGCGTGCCGAGCGCAAACGCCGTGTGGCCTTGCCTCCGTCGGCGTGCCAGTGTCACCGAGTACCTTTAGCCCTCCGCCCAAAGTCCTGATAGCCCCCTTAGTTGCGGATAAAAGTGAGGGGGCGGGCGCGGGGGGGATGCGGGTGGGTCGCGGGTGGGTCGCGGGTTGGGTCTCGGGTGGGTCGCGGGGGGGGGGGGTCGCGAGCGAGGACGACGACAACAACAATGCTCATTTTGATATTGCTCTTTCTGATCTTGTCGCGTGGCATTCAACATGCATGCCCCGCAACTTCGATACCCGCCCTCTTCGTCTTCGATCATGCCCTTCTTGAAAGTACATCTCTTTCACCTGAAACGTGTAGTTTGCGCGGCCCGCAAACCAGAAAACGAAATGAAAGAGAGGACAACAGGTAGAGAGAACGATGGAGCACGATGACGATTAGCAGGAGGGGGGCCAGGAGCAGACCAAGAAGTGGCAGAATCAGACGGGCGTGTCAGGCGGGGCGGGGCGGGCGGGTCCAGACGGCGGGGTCGAGCGGGTCGCCGAAGAGTCAGTCCTGCATGAATCGCGAGGAGGTCTCGAGGGACAGCGCAATTCCCAAGTAAATCACGAGAAAGGCTAGAACGAGAGCGTGATTCATATGTGTGGAAGGCGCGGCGGTTGAACAAGGCGTGATAACATTCCACGCGAGAGCGCGATTACTCCATACATTGTTAGGAAATCCGCATGAGAGAGAGAGAGATTGCGAAAAACATGCGAGTACATACCAAGCGGGAGCCGCTGGTGTGCATAACTGAGGGCCAGGGGCCTAATATAATGCTCAACACTTTCAATGGTAAAACAACAAAGTGCGAACCCCGCGAATGGCACGTCACTTGAAAAACAAAACGGGCACCAGGGGGAGGTCAACAATAATTGTTCCACAGAAGTTCGCCCTCATCTGCCCGCGTGCCAGTCAACATGTATAGTCCGAACCCTCGACACCCGCCCTCTTCGTCTTCGATCGCCCCCCGGGGGTAGACCTTCCTTAGCTAGCACGCACAGCCTCTAAAACAGGGGACGAGAGGACGGATGGAAGGAAGGGACAAGGATGACTTGAGGGAGAATGATGGAGCACGGGGGAAATTCGCAGGACGGAGCTGGCAATACACGTGGCAGAACCAGACGGGCAGACCTGGCGGGTAACCCCTATCGTTCAAAACTCAGTGTGCCCCAACACTTCGGAAACATAAACGCTGATTGAAACACAATGCATTAACACAGGCGTTTTCTAACATAGGAATTGCGAACAGCCGCCGCGCGTGCCCTTGCTGAATCCCACCAGCCCTCTGGGCGTAGGTGGTCTAGGGAGCTTCCTCTTCCAAACCCCTTTCTTCCCCTTCGGGGAGGGGTTGACCCCTTCCCCTACCACCTACCCTGAACCTGGACGGGCGGTGCCGCGACCCACTGGAGCGTCCAAAACGGCCTCGGCGAGGAAGCCAAAATTACTAGGATGTTGGCTCTATGTTGGTGTATTGGGGGGCAACCCTAATTGAAGCGCCCCTCTCCTCGGATCGATTTCCTCCAAGATGGCCCCAAGAAGCGCCCAGGAGGCCCCAAGAGGTCCCAAAGATGGCCCCAAGGGGCCCCCAAAAGGCCCCCGAAAGGACCCCGAACGGCCTCCAAAGGCCCCGCCGAGGCAACCAAGGCGCCCAAGAGCCCCCGAGGACCGCCAAGAGACCCCAAGACGTCCGAGAGATACCCACGACGCGCCCAAGAACTACCCCAAGAGGCTTCGAGAGGCATCCAAGAGACCTCTGGCCCTGTTTGCGTGCCCTCCTCCTCCTGCTCCTCCTTCCTCCGCCTCCTCCGTCTCTTCCTCCTCCTCCTCCTCCTCCTCCTTCTCATCCTATTCATCCTCCTTCTCCCCACTCCCTCATCCGTCCATCCAACCTCCTCCTTCTCCTCTTGCTCCCACACTTCCGTGATCACCTCAACTCTCCTGGACATCGTTTCTGGATGGGCTGGGGATACTTTTTTTGGTCGCAGCCACCAACGAGCGCGCAAGCGGCGAGAGAAGTTGTCCGGGCCGGCTGGTGGGGATACGCGAAGCGTCTAGACTTTACACGAAAGCCACAAGCGCGTTAGCAACACGCAAGCGCGCATCTCGAAGACGTCCAACCGTCACCGCGCGCCTGTCAACCCTGTAAGAGAAGACCATGCGGGCCAACGCGCGTCTCCGCGCGCACACGCCGAATCCATTCCCGAACTAGTGGTGTTCTAAATGTGTCAAAGCGGAGGTAGTGAAAGCCGTACCCAACCCACTGAGGCTCTCAGTGGAAATGCGGCAGGGAGTTGAACGATTACGTGCGCGCAGTTCCTCATCATCCTCATCGGTACTATCGCTATCACCATCGTCAGAGCCAGTATTGGCATCATTGCTATGGTCATTAGCATCGCCATCACCATCGTCAGCGTCACCACCGCAGTCATCACCGCCGAGCACTTCCGTATCATCCTCACCAGCACCATCCTGATCGTCACTATTCATCATCATCAGCATCATCACCACCATCACCATCACCATCAGCATCGCCATCATCGTCATCAGCACCAACAGCAGCAACATAATCAGCATCATCACAATGGCCATCATCATTATCATCCTCCTCATCATCCATAGCATCAACATCATCGTCACCACCATCATCATCGCCAGCGTTATCGTTAAAACCGCCTGTACTCATCATCACCATTCGTTGCATCGCCATCACCATCGTCGAGGTTGACATCGTTCCCACCTTCGTCATGAACGTGGTCTCCGTCATCGTGTCTGTCGCCGTCCAACGAAGCTTTGCCAACCAGTTGCGGGTGGATGGGTGGGATGCATGCGATGGCGTTGGAGGTGGTGACACGAAGATGCAAGCTGGTGAAATGCACCACGTAGCCGTCAAAAAGGCTGCACCAAAAAGCGATGGCGGGTTCACACAAACCTTGCACCCAAAAGCCTTGCCATCTCTTGGGCGAAGGATGTGTACTTCCGCCGGCTTCTACCGGGCTTCCGCAAGCTTCCGCCGGCGGAGGCGGCCTCGTTTTGCTTCCGACGCCTGCCGCCGGCCTTCCGCCGCCTTCCGCTAAGCAAGAAATATCAACTCATTCGATCCTCGAAGGCGAGGCCCTTCCCTGAATGCCTCGCATCGACTGCACAGCCAGCGCGATATCTCACAATTCTCGGCCCACGCTGGCAAGGCTTTGCTACCAAACAGTGGGCAACCGCGTTACGTGTTGACTACATGGTCCTCCTGCTTCATGGGCAGTCAGGGCCGTCGAGATTACTTCAGGGTAGCCCAACAAGAACCCAACTCGAGATGCTCTCAAGATAGGCCCAAATATAGCCACAGAGGGCAAACAGATGCCCTCCAGAGGGCCCAATATAGCCGTTACAACTGTCCGAACATGACCTTGGTATGATTCAGCCTTGAGGATCCGCGGCAAGGGGCGCAACCCTTCAGATATTTCAGATGGCGGCTCACTTCGACTTCTTGCCGCCGTCGTCCTTCTTGCTCAGGGCTTCCTGGGTCTGCTTCCAGTACACGAGGATCTGGGCAACCAGCGTCAGATTGAGCACCCCTGCGAAGAAGTGGCCCGCCAGGATGACCATGTCGCCGAGCGCAGCAAGCGTGGTGATTACGCGAACCACGTTCCCAGCTGCACTCATACCCCACGTGATGACGGACTGGTTCCCTGTATGCCCCTGGCGGAAATTCAACACGATCTGGGGCACCCTCGCCACGCTGCCGAGCACGGTGGGCACCATGCCGAGAACGGGGAGGAACTCTGCGGGCATGAGATCCTGCATCAGGGCATACACCGCCAAGCTCGTCAACAGAATGCCAACCGCCCGAGGTGCCACCGAAATCCGCCGGACTCCGCTCGGCGAAGGCGAGAAGGCGTGTATTCAGGTAATCCCGTCCTTGTGCTACCGTCCCCGCATTCCTATAGGCCTATCACCACATGTTCTTCGAACCAGAACGTGTTCTACTAACAAGAACAATACTCTTAAAGCGTAAAGCCGACGTAGTAAAAAAAAGACACAGTCTCTGCCAGACATGTTCTAATAACACTTCACGCGACCACACAACGCTCTTAGAACCTTCGTCGGTGGCCCTATAGGCAGGCCAGAACGCTTCGCCACTGCTCGAGATATGGTGCGAAGGCGTGTGAGGTGTTTGGATGTTCCCGCCCGCCCGCCTCAGGAGGGATGCTGGAGGGCAGGGGCCTCTGAGCCTCTCGGCGCACCTCTGGGGCCCCGGGAGTCTCCGAACCGTGCTCCCTGGACGCTCACATGCTACACGTCTTGCTCACGATGGCCTCCGCGTGGCTCGGTACAATCGGATGGGTAGCCTCCTACACCGTCCAAACATTCGCCGACCCCTTGGGGGTTCCTCAGCGTGTGATTTTGTTGCCCCTCCCCAACCCAGACCCCTCCCAAGGCAGCCCTGACCGGCCAGTTTGGAGGGAGGGGGTCTGCTCACCCATGTGGCCCAAAGGCATTCCCCGACGTGCTAAAATCGCCAAAGATGTCTGAAGAGAGCCCCAAGACATCCTAGGATGGCCTGTGGACGGCAAGTTGCATTTCCCATGACGCCTCGATGTGGCCCCAAGGGGGTATACACGAGAGCTCCCAGAGGCCAACTCATGGGCCCCCGTATCTGTCTCAATGATTCTGGGGTGCTCGAGATTCCGAGCTCCAGGACGTCCAAGATGGCCCAAGATGCCCCCAAGATCGCCCCGACAGGGCGCCAAGATAGCTCCAGCACAGAGAACGCCGAGATGGCTCCAGCACAGCCCAAAAGAGCCCCAAGAAGGCCCCAAAGGCCGCCAAGACGACCCCGTAGCACCCGAAGAGGGCCCCAAGATGGATTCAACAGGGTCGCCAGAGGGCGAGCTCAAACCAGCCTTGGGAACCTGCCCCCCCGAGAAAACTCTGCGGGAGAGGGGGGGGTGAGGGGCACGACGCCCTCAGCAAACCAAACGAGGCATCCAAGGCCTGGAGGCCGGTGGAACTTCAATCGTGGACCGGCCATGGATATCACCGCCGCCCTCATCAGACAAGGCATCTTCCAGGGTCCGGACCTTCCTGAGCACATGCCCTAACGAAGCCCCCACCGCATTAGATTTACGTCGGGCGTGTCCCCCTACAGGCGGCTTTTTGGACGAAGAATTGAACACTCAAAAAAAAATGTTAAGATGCCCCAAACTAATCAAAGAAACGTCCTCAGACTATTCTTGACGACTTTTGAATCTCCCTACTGTAGAGGCACAGGCCCGACGAAATATCAGACGTTCTTCGTGTGCCGCAAGGTTCGTGGGCAGCGAGAGGACGTACAGTCAACCCGCATAATAAGGATGCGCAACAAGGATGCAAGGGCCTTGGAGGCCCATGTTGACGTTATTCGAACGAGGATGGCCTGCGAGAGTCGCCAATGATGGGCCGAAGGGGCAAGGATGCAAGGGTACCCTTGGGAAAGTTGCCCATCCCTACTACGCGGGTTGACTGCACATTGACGAAAAGACGGTGGGGGGCATTGGACAAGGAACCCTTAGATTCACGGGGCCCAAGAACACACGAATAAATACACACAAATCCCCGGATTCCCCATATGTTTCCATTTCTGGGGTTTCGTCTTCACCCCCCCCACTTCCCATAGTTCCCCACACTTTCCTGGGAGTCGACGATTAATTGTCTCTGTGTGATGTTCACCTCCTGATAGATGAGGAATCCAGGGGTCTGGAAGCTTGTGGAAATCCAATAGTGGATCGTCCTTGGAGATCACAACCGCCCTCCTCAGATAAGGCATCCTCCAGGGTCTGCAGCCTCCGAGGCACATTCTTTAACGAACGCCCCCACCGCGTGAGAGGGGCACCAGAGAACCCGAAGGGATCGGTAGTGCGGCGCAAGCCAAGGAATCAAGACTACCAGAACGCTTTTCCAAGCAGGTCGCTGCTGCCTGATATTGGCCCCAAGCATCAGAAAAAACTTCTAGATGGCCGGGAACGGCCCTAGTCGAGCTCCGCCTGCGTCGAATAGGAGCCCCATGGAACTCAAAAGACGCAATAAGGCAGAACTACTACCAATTCAAGAGTGCCCCCCGTAACAGACAGTAGATTCCAGGATCCACTGGTGCCTGAACAAAAAGCTTCAACAGGACGCTGCCAAAGCTGAACAGAATTCCGGATCGAGAAAAGCAACACTGACCCGAAGCAAAGCCTCTGCTAGATTTTCCCACCGGCATTCGGTTCTACCCTCCTCCTCCTCCTCCTCCACCCTCTCAATTCGGCGAGTCGGCGGAATGGCGCAGGTAGGCCTATCGGACTCTCTCTGTCGTTAGGGACCAATACAGGACCATCTGAATCCCAACCTGCACGGCAATGAGCGCCATCTCTCCCCACGTCTTGAAAGGGAATCCCATTTTCAAGTTGTAGGCGCAATAGCTGAGGCACGCCAGGAACTCCGTGGCCAGAGAGACCTCGCTGAACCCCTTGACAGTCAGTGTGCGCCCGATGTTGATTATCTGGGGGAGCTTCACGAGAATCCCTCCCAGGAACATCGAACCGTTCAGGACATTCAGGGCCAGAGCGACCAGCTCTGGAGGCAGCCCGAGGTCTTCCAGGAAGCCCATCGCTGCCGGGCGGCGGGGGCGGTGGAGACAGGTCTGGGGGGTTCTGAGGCAGCGGGCGAACGCAACAAAGGCCCAGGTATACGTAGGATCAACGAGGCCATACCTGGCTCGCAGCCTGTGGGGGGACTGCGCAGAGAAAGTGTCGCCACGCACCGTGTTCTGATGATGCTGATGCTTGCTGTACCCTCTCCCCCCCCCCCCCCCCCCCCACACACACACACACACACACACACATACACACACACACACCTGCCCTGTACCATTCCACGAGCCCCCCTTTCCACAAGAGAAGCCTACAACTACACACAAACCCCAACGTACAATTCCCCGAGCCCCCCCCTTTCCACACGAGATGCCTACACCCCCATTGCACCAGCCTTGCAGACGTGCTGCAGCGGATTTCTGCGTGGATTGTTGCCCGAAACGGCGAGCGAAAAACGAAATTCATTTCGCGTGGGCTCTTTTTGGTCTTCACTCCTGAGCAAGGAAGATCCGCACGAAATTCACATCGAAATCCGGACAAACTTCTCCAGGACACTCTGGGCCCACCTTACCGTTTTCCGAGCGAAATCCGCTCTGCGATGTTGGCGCCATGACAACTGCACACAAACCCCAATGTACAAGTCCATCCCCTGGGCTACGGTTAGGCTGGATTTTCGACGAATAATGAAAAACATTTAAACAAACTCCAAAATGGCTAAAAATACTCAAAACAGTTCCCCGACTATTTTCTACTATTCTTGAATATGCCCCCTGTAAAGGGACAGGCCCGACTTAAAGCTACGTTTCCCCCAATGCTATCTATGGTCCCGGGCTCCGGGGCCCACGGGACCCCCCCCTCCCCCCCAGATGATATGGTCCCAGGTTTCCTCGCCCCCCCCCCCCAGATGGTATGGTCCCAGAGACGACGACGACGACGACGACGACGACGACGACGACGACTACGACGACGGCGACGACGACGACGACGACGACGACGACCACGACGACCACGACCACGACGACGACGACGACGACGACGAGGACGACGAGGACGACGAGGACGACGACGACGACGACGACGACCTCTGAACCACCACAGCACCACACCACATCCACAGGGGGGGGGGGCGGGGGGCACCGCAGCGCAGCACCACGCCACGCCCACCTCTGAACCACCACAGCACCACACCACATCCACAGGGTGGGGGAGGGGGGCACCGCAGCGCAGCACCACGCCACGCCCACAGGGGGGGCGGGGGGGACCATCGCGCGGGGGGGGGGGGCCAATGGCATCAGCATTGGGGGGGGGGGGGCCCAAGCCCTGGACCATCTATGCACAGGTACTTCCCGACTCGTCCTCCCGGTGCAGTCAGAGAGGCTGGCGGGGCGTGACACCGCTCACTCTAATGGGGTGATGTGTGTGCGCGGCCGCCCTTCTCTGAGGCGGAGGGACGATAAAACTGGAGTATTCGGATATACATATACATATACATTTGCAAAAAAAAACACATATATGTTTATATATATATATATAGATATGCACATGTATATATATATATATAGATATATATATATACATATATATATATATATATATGTATATCTAAAAACATACGCCTATATATCAAAATTCAGTAGACATGTGTGAAGGGATCCCATATGTTCTACTATTGTCTGGGTTTCCATCCTCCCCCCACTTCCCATATTTTCCTATATTTCTGGGAGACGGCGATTGATTGTGTCTGTGCGTGCTTCCCCCCCTCCTGAATGTATAACAGAACTAAAACATCGACCCAAAACGTGTTGGGGGCCCTTTGCGGAGCTGATGCTATCCAGTACGAATATAATCTCGGGTCAGGGGCGGGTTGCACATGCCTGTCTGTCCCTTGGGAGGTCCGTGGGCGGGATAGGGCCGGCATAGTTTTGAAATGGGAGGACATCCCGCACGTCTTCCGCCTCGTCTCCACACCCCCTTTCCCAAATGTACCTGTCAGACGCTCGTTATGGAGACATTCCTGGGGCCCCTCCGTCCGTTCATGCGTCGATGAGCCGAACACATGTCGATCTTGAGTCGAACCCGCGTCGCCCTAGAATCGAACCATACGAGTTGATCGAGCTAATCGAATATATTCGCTGGGCGACCCGCAGGGAAGCACCCCAAACGAGCATCCAATATTTGGCCGCCAGCTGAGAGGAAAACTGAGCAAATTGTTGTTCGTTGTGAGAGCAGAGATGGAGTAGGCCCTTTTCCTCCTGCACCCGCTGCCGGGCCCCGGCGATTTTCGCACAGGCCTGTGCCGACCCGTTGGGTTCCGAAGGTAATGAACAGGTACGCGTCCTCCTTCTCATCCCCACTCCTCCTCACTTTTCCTCCTCCTCCGCTCTTTCTTTTGTTCCTCCTCCTCCTCCTCCTACTACTACTACTCTTCTTCATCCTTCTCGTTGTTCTCCTAACCCTCTTCATGTTCCTCCTACTTTTGTTTCTCCTCCTCCCCCCCCTTTCCTCCAAAAACCAACCCGAAACATTTTTTCAGGCGACGCCACGGGCACCACCACGAGGGCCCCTTTGGCACATCCTCAAGCACAGCCTCGGAGAACACTGGCGGCCCACAGGCCGATGGCCTTTTCCATTCTGGGGTCCACCTCGCTCCATGCAGCAGGACAGCGGAAAGGATGTGTCATTACTGGCATATTCTGTACCACCGCAAACTGACACATCTTTGGCGACGTGGACGCCCCCAAAATGCCCCGGATGCGAAATACTGAAACTGGATTGTTGTAGAAAGAGAAAACCCATCCTGATGCTTGTCGTGCGACAGAAAAACCGCGGGGTGCGCGCGCTATTCCACATCTGCCATGTTACCTAGCTCACAGGTCTCCTGAAATGCATCCGCACTCGGCCATACATGCCTCTACCCTCCTACATGCTACACATTATCTTGAAACGCCCTCGATTCTGCCAGGCCTCTAGGCCAGGGGGCGTGAAGGAGTGTCTCGGAAACTCGGTTGGGTAAGGCACGTTGGCCTCACCGTCTGTCCGTGTCTATTGTTGTTCGCACCATTCAGGCTGGTGCTTCCCAGCAACTCTGATGGCTCAAGCCTCCTTCCGGCTACGAGCTGTCCGAACTGCCTTGGCTAAATCGCCGTCGCCATCGTCGCCAAGTGACGGCACGGTCCGCCTGCGAAGCCAACGCTGCAGGAGAACTTCACGAGCTTCTCCTGGGTGGTCGGCTTCGTCAGCATGTTTGCTTCGCTGTCGGCCGTGAGCCTTTCTTTTCAAAGTCCAAGCGTTTCTGTTCGCGCCACAGCTGCAAAGCCAGAAGCCTGATCTCTACGTGCTTCTTCTTACCTGGCCCTCTTATCTTCGCGATGTGCAGCGCGCTGCTGTCGCTCGTTGGGACGAACGCCGCGTTCTCGTGCCACGCATGCATCAACGATGCCAGTCCTGGCGCCCCGGCTGCTCCGGATCCTAATGCGTACACTAGTCACCTCCGTCGTCTCCGTCCCGCTCCCGTTCCCGTTCCCGTTCGGGAGCCGGCGCCCTGGCTGGCGGTGCCGTCTTTGCGACCGTCTGAGCTGGCGGCGTGAGCTGCTCGCCGCCGCCGCCCCCGCCGCCTGAGCTGGCGGTGCTGGATCTACGCTCGTGGGTGACCAATGCCATGAACGCTGAGCTTGCAGCCTGGATCCATTGACGTCCGCGTCGTCAGTGGGGCGATGGGGAGGGGCCTCCCGGCGCGGACCCCCCCCCGGCGTAGCTGCCGCGGGTCTGGCGGCGCGCATTGCTGCTAAAACTCTTCATGCTGTGTATCCGCATCCTGGTGGGTTCCTCCTCTTAGCGGGGCCCCCCTCCTGATGGGGCCCCTCCTCCTGCCGGTGCCCCCGCCGCCTCGGCTGGCTGGGCCCGCAGCGGAGCTTGTGCATGTTTTGGGGAAGGGTCCCAATAAGATCGCCCCTGGATCGATCTCTGCGTTCGCGGCCACCCAACGCCAGGGTCGCCTCCCGAGGCGCCCGAGTCATCTAATCGAATAAGGCTGGGTCGCAGTGCGTGCTTTCCACCCTCGGCTTGATCGCCCTGGAACTGGGGCGCCGACGGCGCGTTCGTCGGCCCTGGCATCTCTGTCCAGCCAGACGCCCGCCAGCCAGGACAGCTCAAACGTTGAAACCTGGGCTGGGGACCGTCTGCAAACCGCCGCCGCCTCGCCGACTGCCACGATCGGCTTCTAGTACTTCAGCACGTGCGTCTTCTTCTCGTGGGATGTCGGTCGGCACCGCCCCTCACAGCTAACCCGTCGTAGAGCCAAGCAACGAAGCGAAAAACGCCGCGCGGGGACGGGGGGGTCCGACGCGCAACGATTGTTCTCAACCTTCTTCGACGCCGCTCACGCGAGCGCGCCGGCATGCCTCCTCGCTGTCTCGGTGGCCCCCTCTGCCCGCCCATTGTCCTGGGACCTGCGCCTCTCCGCCTGCCTAATCGAGATGCCGGGCGGGCCTCGCCCCGCGGCGCCCTCTTCCTCGCCGCCGCCAGGAGCGAGAGCTTCGCTGCTCCGCCCGGCTGAAAACCGACTCGCGCGTGTCCCAGTTCAGCCAGCCACGACGCCGCCGAGGCTATCTCGCATGGGTCGTCACGACCCCTCCACGCGATGGCCGCGCCCCGCGCCGCCCGCGGCGGCGTCGCTCCCGAGCGATCTCGAAGACGACTGGATCGCCGTCCTCTCTTGCCCATGCGCAATCGGAACTGATCGGTGGGACGACGGCGCCCCTGCTGTCAGCCGTCTTGCGCGCCAAGTCAGTGGCCCTTGCCTGCGCGCAGACTTCGCGCAAATGTCTGACTGGGCAATGCGTTAGTTCGGGCCTCTCAATCGCGTCCACACACGATTCACGCAGTCCTGCGACGCCTTGCGCTATACCACCTCGAGTAACCGGTGGGGGCGATCGTCGGGGATCGCCGCTGGTCCTTCCCTGGGGCCGTCAGCCAATGCCTCCGCCGCTGGCCGCGCCACCGCTGTCTGAGCCAGTGG